CCCCCCGCCCCCCAGCTTGTCGTGCATTCTTTACAAAAATCGGGACTTTTTTTAAAACGTCGCGGGACGCGGGACAAATTGTTAGAAATTGAGACTGTCCCGTTTGGCGACGTCCGGTCACCTTAGGGTATTGATAAAATTTCATTTCCTTCTAATTTTGCACTTTGTCCATCCCGAATTCTGTGAGGATGGTGATTCTGTCCTACAGCAAATCTAAACAACTAACGAGTTCTCAAGATGATTACCAGTTTACATCTACACTCAGGGAGGTTGTAATATTTTACCATGCAGGATCATGTCCTATTAATCCAATTCCCAAACTCCACAACACCAAAACTGGATTTGAGTAAGAATGATGATGATCCAAGCTAACCTTCCAAATGATGGACCTCATTAATATAAATGAGTGTTCTTCAGTACAACACATAAATCGAGGGCGGGCGCAGAGGCTCACAACTCTAATCCTAGCACTCTGGGAGGCAGAGGCAGGTGGATTGCTTGAGTTTAGGAGTTTCAGGGACAGCTGGAGCAAGAGCTAAAATGCTTTGTAAAAATAGCCCGGCGTTGCGGCTGGGGTCTGTAGTCCCAGCTACTTCGGATTCTGAAGCCAGAGGACTGCTGGAGCCCAAGACTTTGAGGTTGCTGTAAGCTATGACACCATAGCACACTACCGAGGGCAACAAAGTTGTCATTAAAAAAGAAAAAAGTTTGGCTCTGTGCCTGTGGCTCAAGCGGCTAAGGCACCAGCCACATACACCTGAGTTATCCAGTTCGAATCCAGCCCGGACCGCCAAAACAACAATGACGGCTGCAACCCCAAAATAGCCGGGCACTGTGGTGGGCACCTGTGGTACCAGCTACTTGGGAGGCCCAGGCAGGAGAATCCCTTGAGCCCAGGAATTGGAGGTTGCTGTGAGTTGGGATGCCACAGCACTCTGCCCAGGGCAACAACTTGAGGCTCTGTCTCAAAAAAAAAACGGTTGTAACAATAAATGAGAAAATAATAAATGCTATATTTTAATAGATTAATAAATCAGAATTTAGAGGTGATACATGGTGAGCAAAAAGAAGAAACAGATTGTGCTAAAAGGCACCATTTATGAAATCCTCATTCAAATTAAATGTGTGTAAACAAATTAGGAAAAAATTATTCTGTACTGACTTACAGAGATTTCTGTATTTTAAGTGGAAAAGTTAGAAGGTCATGGATACTATGTTGGTAAGAATAAACTAATCAACCCTCAGTATGTGTGTTTATACAAACAATGAGGAAGGGTGCAAAAAAGTTTATTACTGTCACTCATCTCAAGTACCATACTATTTCAGTTACCAGCATTTATTACTTGTGATTCCTGGATCAGCAGCATCAGCATCACCTGGGAACTTGTTATAAATGCATATTCTCAGGCTCCACCACAGACTTAAAAGAATCAGAATCTATCTTTTAGCAATACCTAGCAGAGAAACTTATTTGCTGTACTAGGATATGGTATAACTCAGGTCCTTTTTCATTAACTTGCATTTCTATTGACTTCTTTTAATACTCAGGACAGTTACCTTAACACTAGTCATTGGTTCTCTGTAGTTATCCCTCGGTGCCATTATAGAAATTGATGTAACCTAAAACAATAATGATATGTAGTTGAGTAGTCACAAGAAACCAAAGCAAACCATGGCCAACATTTCACCTGAGAACAAGCTCTTCATAAAACTCATCAGGATTTGTTATCAGTGTGTTAAAATAAGTATCAGATATTATACTGCATCCTCACTAAGAAAGAATGTAAGGGCCTCAGAGTGACTTGACTTTTAAATACTAGTCCTCTTTTACTAACCCTGAGTCTGATAATGCTTCCAAAATGTCCAGTTAATGTGTTACTCTTAGTGTAGGAAAAACCATTCACTGTCAGTTTCACTTTTCCTACAAGCGTCGATGTTGGTGCACTGTGACATCAGCCGCATTTTCCCAGCCACCTACACATTTGTTTTCCCCAGAGATATAAGCCCTAAGTCTGGGGGTGCTGAGGTGCAAAGATCTACCTATTTTGCCACTGCCCAAGACCACATTTCTGTTCTTCAGTCCCTCTAATAAATCATCCCATACCAACAAGCTGGATTTGTCTGCTTCCTTCTTTGGTTTCTAGTCTCCTTCAGCTTTGGGTGGGAAGGGTCAGTGTGTGTATATCACCCTTTTACAGAACAGATTCATAATGTAGAAAGAACTAGTGGAACAAGGTGATTCAGAACTAGCTAAAAGAAGATTTCGTAGCAAAGAGAAGAGAGAAAGACTGCAGTTTCAGGGTCTCAAAACAATTCACCTAAAATACAAAGGACAAATATTTATGAGCATGTTAGTGCAAGGCACTGCTTAGACCTGTGGTAGAAAATGTTTAACACTGCTCTCAAGGGAGAAATTGATAACATTCTTGAGGTAAAATATGAGGATTCAGAAAAAGCCATGTATAACAACAGCAGAGGGCAGATGGCAGATTAATGGGCAAAATATGTAGAAAGAGATGGTGGACTACACTTAATTGGCAAACAATGGCATCAACTAAAAGGAATTTTAAGATTTGTGCATCTGGGCGGCACCTGTGTCTCAGTGAGTAAGGCACTGGCCCCATATATGGAGGGTGGTGAGCGGCCAAAATGCTACAAAAAAATAGCTGGGTGTCGTGGCAGGCACCTGTAATCCCAGCTACTTGAGATGCTGAGGCAAGAGAATCACCCAAGCCCAAGAGCTAGAAGGTGCTGTGAGCTGTGATGCCACACTGAGGGCAACAAAGTGAGACAATGTATTGGGTGACAAAGTGAGACAATGTATATAAAAAAAAAAGATGTGTGCATCCATGAATAGAGGGAAAACTGGGAGAGACTGCAGATGCTAAAAAGGGATGGCACAGAGGAGAACGAGAGGACCTGGACGGAGATGCAGAATTCAACTCAGGCCAGACAGGAGTCAGCCTTTGAAAGGGCTAGGTATCTTCCCTCCTGGTATTCAACCTCAGCTGACCATCACAATCGCCTGGGAGGCTTTAAAAACCCTGATGCCCAGTCCATACCCCAAACTACATGAACCAAAATTTTGGGAGTGTCATGCAGGGATTTGTACTCTTAAAGCTCCCTGATGATTATAATATGCAGCCCGATTGAAAACCAATGCTCTAGAGCTACTGAAAGATGAGGAATTTCCCACCTCATGGCCTTCATCGTTCCACCTGGTTGAGAGCAATCCAATAGAAGGAGAAATGTGAAGTGGGAGTTCAAGGAACTCTGTTATGAGAAACCAGAAGAGTGCAGTCACAATAGAACCCATTTGTAACGGGGCAAGTGGAAAAGGTGAAGTGTGTCTTTGGTTAAGTTTGGTGGCCCCAAAAAAGAGAGCAAAAACAGTGAAGGTAAATGTACAATCTAATCTGGCCAGGGAGCCCAGAATGACTGTTGAGGTAAATTGGAAGAGTAAGGTAACCAGTAATCTCTAGAGAGGGCAGTTGTTTAGATGCAGCAGAGGCAAGCTGTCCTACGAGGTGGGTTTATCTA